CCCCGTGTGATAACATCCTTAATCTTTTTGTGATATTTTGTGAAACCTATCTTTCTTGTACATAGGATCTCTTCTCTGTCATTAGTATGACTCATTTGTGCATGTGTATTTATATGGAAGTGGGACTTCCCAGGAGTGCTCATCACTTGTGGGGCTTTAACCTCTGATATCATTCCACAACCCCAATACATTCATACTATGGAAAAGGACTATTTGTCCTTAGCCAAGTAAGGAGATGAAGCTACTGTGCTCCTTCAATGATAGTTATTGAGATGCACAGTGTCATTTGTTTATTTATTTACATGCATAACATGCCTATTCCCACAGTTTAAAAAGGAATAAATATTGTTTTTGTGTGTCTTCAATTCATTTTCTGACTTATAATGACCTTAAGGTGAACCTATCACAAGGTTTCCTGGGGCTGAAAGTGTGTGACTCACCCAGGGTCACCTAGTGGGTTTCCATGGCCAAGTAGAGAATTGAACCCTGGTCTCCAGATTAGTAGTCCAATGTTCAAACCATTACAGCACACTGGCTCCTAAATACTTAAATATTGTAAGTACATGTAAATAGATGTTGTTGTTGTGTGTCTCCAAATCATTTTTGATTTATGGCAACCCTAGGGCAACCCTATTCATAGGGTTTTCTTGGCAAGTTTCTTCAGAGGGAGACATTGTCATCCTCTGAAGCTGAGAGAGTGTGACTTGCCCAAGGTCAGCCAATGGGTTTTTATGCTCACATGGGGAATCAAACTCTGATCTCCAGAGTCATAGACCAGCACTCAAACAACTACCCCAAGCTGGCTCTTGTGGATATTACAAATGTGTATTAATATACATACACATAAATACACATCTGAAATCTTCCTAATAGCATTTGGTAGTTCTCTTTTGATTTCTACAGTCTATGTTATGAGTAGCTGAAAGTCAATTATAGGCTTGAAATTTTGTGATGGCTCACCATTCATGTATACATTTTCAAATTGTTGATTTTATTACAGGGGTGATTTTCCATACATGTTTAATACATTACATACACTTTCAGTTATTTGTTTTTGGTGTTTTAATCCATCATGTTCTTGTTAGGAATACTTGAAATCTTGCCACTAGAATTCAGTAATCCTAATTGTTCACCTTTTCAATGGTATAGTCTTCCTTGACCTGAATCCAGGCCTATTAAAATGGTTTTATGACATCTTTGATTGGAAACAATGGTCTGTACCTAATTGTACCTAGAGTATATCCATTAAATCACAGGGATTTCCATTTTACTCTAGATGGGACTACTGGAAGAATTCAAGATAATATTAGTACATTGATAGGGTACTTTAAGATGCCTACCGTAAGTGCATCATAGCAATTTTGCCCAGGTGAGAGCTAAGCTAGGCTTACTTCACTTGTACTGTATTAACAATTTCATGCAAGGCATAACAATATCATGTTGCTGCCAGTAACTGTGCTGAGAAATTATATGGCCAACATGCAATGCCTAACTGAAGCCAACTGTGTGCTCAGATTTCAAAGATCTACAGCATCTAATGCAACACTGGCAGTTTTCTCATTTACTAATCCATGCCCACATGAATTTATTCAGTAGAGATCTGCCACCTAAAAGATTTTCTTTCCATATTAATTACCTTTAAAATCCTGGGATTTGTAGTTTGTTGTGGCACCAGAGTTCTGTGACAGACAAAGCTAAATAACTCAGAAAACTACAAACATTCAAATTCCATAATACTGAGTCATGGTAGTTAAAATGGCGTCAAAAACATTATTTTTGCAGTACAGATGCAGCCATGGAGGCCAATACAGGAGGCACCCTTATTATCAGTAATCATGGTGACTATTGAGGCTGAAGTGCTAGGCCAAAGGGTAGTCTCCACCATACCTTGTCTCAGTTATCCTAGAACTGTTATAATTTATAATTATTTATTGAAATCATTCCTTCTTTCCATGTAATCATGTTTCAGGTGCCATGAATTTTTGACAGCAAACAAAATATTTAAGTATTCTATCAGAAGATATTTTGGTAACAAAAGATGTGAATTCATTGTACATCAAGATACCACAAAGAAGTTTTAGGTTTTATTTTTTGAAATATTACAACAGTGAGAAACACAATCCATCTGTTGACTTTAAAATTTACCATGTTAAATTTGTTCTGGAAACATGAATGCCTACAGGGTGACCCATGGCTCTGAAAATTGCTAGTCTATATGTGAAACATTTTGATTAATCATTCTTCACCTTTGTTTACCATTATGTGTGTAGTTTTAGTATATCAATAAGATTTTGCTCAAATAGAGTGATTCTTAGGTTTTCTTGTAAGAATTTTGTTAATGACTAGATCTCTGAAAGCCCATTCTTAGCTCTGGGACATCTGGGATTGTCCATGCTGGTTTCTAATACAATGTGCATATAATGGTTTGAATGTTGGACTATGACTCTGGAGACCAGGGTTCGAATCCCAGCTTGGTCATGTAAACCCAATGAATGAACTTGGATGAGTCACCCAAGCCTCAGAGGATGTCAATAGCAAACCTCCTCTGAAGAATCTTGTCCAAACAATCCTGTAATCTTGGAAAGGTGGGAAAGACTCGACTGCACACAACAAACAACAAGCAACAAAATGGATATATTTTGGTTTCTAAGACAATAATCATTTTGTCATAACAAAGAGAAAATTCAAACAAAAATCCACCAAACAGTAATACCTTTATTGGTCAACCAAAATGCACAATATACTTGTTGCAAGCTTTCAAAGCTCCACTGGCTTCTTCATCTGGCAAGATGTTACAAACCAAACAGGGGAAAAATTGGAGATGTTAGTCAGATGCCAGCATTTTGATGTTTCTGTCCTTAGTTAAGATGGTAAGTGAAGCATATCTTTTGCAGGCTGGGCCCTCCTCCTGTCCATGTGGCTATTGGGAGATTTGCAAAGACCAGGAAATTTAAAGTCTTTTTGCATCTCAACAAAGGATCCCTCTCTTGCAATCCAATATGCCTCCATTCCTATGAGGTTACAAGCCTCTTTGTAGGCAGAGGACAATGGATTCCTCCAGAAGTCTTCATGTTTTTGCATCAGGAACATTTTGGTAGGTGTTGAGGTCAAACATGCCAATCCAATTAAAATTTAAGAAGAAAAATATTTACCTTGGTGGGGGGCCCCAGTCCACTGGCTCTTTGCTGGCTCACTAAACATCTTCTTTGGATTTCAAATGGACATTAAATTTCCTTGGTTTGCAAAATTTTCCAGTGACTGCATGGCCAAAGTGAGAGGAGCCAGCCTGCAGATAGTCCTCTCCTGACATCTGAACTGAGATCAGAAACAGAAAATCCAGGACCAAGACTAACATCTTTATTGTTTTTCTCCTCTTGGTCTGATGAAGAAGCCAGTGTGACTTCAAAAGCTTGCAACATGTAGTTGTGCATTTTGGTTGGCCCAATAAAGGTATTATTATTTGGATGTTTTTGGATTTGAAGTATAATAGCTATCATCCCACACATTTGAAAAAAAATCCCCTATAGAACATTAAAGATCAAATATGAATGTTCCACCTTCCATTTCTACATTAAAGAATCTTGGGTGTTCTGATGTATTTTAGGGGATAAAAGTGTTTCATGCGCACAGAAGCATTTGTGAGTATGGAACAAGTGTCCAAACATTTAGATTCAGGAAACATATGCTTAAATGAGATGGCACATTTGTTTTCATCTGCTAGCTTCATTTCTGTAAAATAAATTTAACTGACAAAATTTCTATGTCCTAAAAATACTACCACTACTACCAAAAATACTACCGTGATGATTCCAAAATGACAATCACACAAACTAATCTCAAAAATTAGGAAACTAATATACGGTATACCCTGAGTGGAAAACAGCTATTTTAATTCATCTACAGAAAGACCTCATGATTTGATAAGGTAATAATAATAATAATAATAATAATAATAATAATAATAATAATTTTATTTATATCCTGCCTCTCTGTCAAACAATTGGGGCTGCTTACAATAATTTTCTACCTCAATAACAGAAGGTTGCCCTACTAATTATCTCCCAATGAATTCTGCAGACCACCAGAACTTTTAAACTGAATGCTGCATTGGCCCTTGCAAGCACATATCCCACATATGGTGCATCATTTACTACTCTTCTAAATATCTACTGCCCTCCAGCACAAATAAGTGTATGTGTGTAGAAGGGTATGGGTTACTGTGTCAAATAACAATTTACACTGAATCTTTGCTTAAGAGATCTTCTGCTAATTCTAAGCTGGAGAAAAAAAGTACCTCTTGCCACATAGATAGTGTAGAAATATGCTTCAACTAGTGTTATTGCTACTGAAACTTACTGGGCTTCCTGTGTTGTACCAGGCTGCCTACTGCAGTGAATGTCTCCCTTCAGAAGATATGATGCCTTTATACTGCAGCACCACAACACTTTTATAGACATTCACCACTGAACTCAAACTGCTGTTCATCAAGGGCTGCATATTTCTCTGCTATGTATCACATTCAAAGATACTGAATTAGCATGGCCCATATGCCGACTCAGCACCCAAGGTTGGCAACTGTAAGACTTCAAAAGTCTGTGTTTGCCCTCTGTGAAATTTTCAAGGGCAGTAGCTCCCTCACACAGCATGACCTGTATATGTGTGTGTGTGTATATATATATTCCTCCCAAGTATTCCCAACCACTATTTTCACTATGTTTTGGGCCAGCCAGGTCATTGTAAGTCCAAGATTGGTCTCCTTTTTATCAGCATATGGCCCAGGAGGCTCATACTCTGAAATGATACTATTGATTAGCCTCAACGACAGCAGGCACATTACCTCAATGGTGGCATACAGACAAATCTATTGGTTCAATGGGACTACTCTTCTCAGAACTAACAGTATGATCCACCCCTAAGACTGGATTTCACAGTTCCTCCAAATTTTAACGTAGCTCATACTAACCTCCAGCTAGGACCAGTGTAAGCCTTCAGCTCAGTGATTAGTAAAGAAGGATTTTTGTGAGGAGTACCTCAAATCTCTCTGGCAATGTTCCATTATTTGCATTCTTCTCCAGATGTTCCCAAATGATGTTTCTGGCTGATCCATGGTAAACTGTCTGTGGATAGCTATACTAGGTTCTTTCATCCATGCCACTAATGACATGCACTTTTTTATTTCTTCCTAAACAGGATCAAATGATTGTAGCCTTGTGAACCTCCCACTTTAAGAGAGTGAGAGAGGTTGTTTGTTATATGAACTCTCCCACCAAAGTCTCTGCAACTTATCTCAATTATAACATGGCACGACACAGTTTTTGTCTCAAAACATTGCATTGCATGGAACTGAAAAGTACCGAAATGGTAAAATGCAGTAGATTTGTTACCACAGTTTTGTGCGTCACAACTATTTCTTCTTTATTTTTGAAAAGCCTGCATATAGATGAATTTCATGACATTATTTTACATTTGGAGGTGACAATGTCTTCTAGGTCTAGTACTATGTGTATTTTGAAAGAAAACATGACTCCAGGATACT